AGTACTGTAAACGTGTATGTGTGTGTGTGTGTGTGTGTGTGTGTGTGTGTATATATATATATATATATATATATATATATATATATATATATATATATATATATATATATATATATATATATAGAGTCATGTACACGTATATTATTTGTCTTAATATCATCAAATATTTGGAGTAGTAGTAACTTAAACAACTTAAGTTCAGTTAAGTAAATCAGTACAGAATTCAGTTAGAACAAAGCAAAGCCCAAACAACTATGTAGCTACTCAAATGGTTTGGTATTACTTCTAGCATTAGAGTTAACACAAAAATATAATTAATCAATTTATAACTCATTAGGTTTGAGTTCTGCTTAACAAAGTCAGTTTGAGTTGCTATAACTCTTTTTTATTAAAAGTTATGTTTGCTGTTTGTTCATACTTATTTAAAATGAGCTGAAACAACAACATTTTTGAGGGTTTTTTTCTTTAACTTAATTGTTTCTTGTTCAGTCCACTTACATTTGCAAATGAGTCTATTAAAATGCAAAGTATCAAGTTAACTTAATTTTTTCATCTTGTCTCAACACAAATCGATTGTGTGGAACACATATTTGTTTTCTTAAAAATTTTTTATTTTTAAATGAATGAAAACAGCAATATAAATGTTTATTATATATATATATATATATATATATATATATATATATATATATATATATATATATATATATATATTTATTTATGTTTTAGTTCTTATAACAGTACACCCCAACAGAGCTTTATTTTGAATTACTATACAAGTGTTTTTATACATTTACTGTAAAACCTAATAAGTTAAGGAAAACGATTGCGGCAAACCATTTGAGTTGACACAAAATGGTTTGAATACAGTAAACTACATATATATTGAGTCATATACACTTATATTATTATTATTTTTTTTTTAGATTAGAGTCAACTTTATTGTCATTACACATGTACAAGTACAATGCAATGAAATGCAGTTTAGGTTTAACCAGCAGTGCAATAGTGGCAAGTTCAGGATACAGGAATTAGTTATAAAGTGCAGTTATAGAAAACTATGGTGATATTTACAGATGGATGTACTATCAAAATTATATACAGGTTGTATAAGCTATGAGCAGATTTACAATATATGAATATATGTGCAGGTTGCTATTAATAATCAATGGGATGATCATTGATGGCCGTATTATTTGTGTCAATATCAAATATTCAAATATTTATAGTAGTGATTTAAACATTTTAGGTTCAGTTATCAAATCGGTACGAGTTCAGTTAATAGAACAAAAAGTCCAAACAACTATATAGCTAATGGTTTGGTATTGCTTATAGCAATGGGGTTAACAAAAATAAAATTAATATATTCATAAACCTGTTAGGTTTGAGTTCTGCTTAATATAATCAGTTTATGACTTACCATAACGCTTTTTCATTAAAATATATGTTTGTTCATACTTATTTAAAATGAGCTGAAACAACACAATTTTTGAGTTTTTTTTTCTTCAACTTAATTGTTTCTTGTTCAGTCCACTTACATTCGTAAATGAGTCTTTTAAAATGCAAAGTATCAAGTTAACTTAATTCCTTCGTGTTATCTCAACACAAATCGATTGTGTGGAACTTTTTTTTTTACATTTTTTTTTTGGAAACATATAAATATTATACAAAAAATAGCAATATATTTATATATTTTTTAATAATTATAATAGTACACCCCTTACAGATCTCTCTTTTAAATCACTTTACAAGAATATAACTATATACATTAATTGTAAAACCCGATAAGTTAACTCAAATTGTTTGAGGAAACCGATTACGGCAAAGCATTTAGATTCTGACACAAAATGGTTTGAGTAGTGTAAACTACATATATCTTGAAACATATTCACTTATATTATTTGTGTTGATATCATTAAATATTTAGAGTAGTAGTGATTTAAACATCTTAAGTTCAGTTATCAAATCAGTATGAGTTCAGTTAGAAGTCCAAACAACTATATAGCTACTCAAATGGTTTGGTATTACTTCTAACATTAGAGTTAACACAAAAAATATATAATTAATTTATAACTCATTAGGTTTGAGTTCTGCTTAATATAATCAGTCTAGGAGTTACCATAACTCTTTTTCATTATGTAAAGTAACTTTTTTTTAAATTATAACTTATTTCATTTAGTGATTTTCAGTGTTAGGTTTTACAGTGTTGGATTAGTCAGTACCAAAGGCAAAACTGGAACTCCACAAACATTTGTACACCCGCCAAAAATAATATATTAAGTACAATTTTAATAAAAAGGAAAAATCAAGAGAAATGCAAAAAATACATGTAAGTTCAATTTATTTAACTGTAGCTTGTTTTTTTTAAAGACCTCATCTGAATTTAAATGTATTATCTGAAGAGTTCAGATGCAAAAAAATAATAAAATCCTCTAAATTTTATCTAAAATTTTTGTCTTAAATGAACATTTTTCTCAGGCTCTTGTGAATAGGTTGAGTAATTTCATTTATATGGCAATGAAGAGGTTATTTTCATTGTCTTCAATTCTTGTGAACTGTTCAAATTTTCTACCCCCTTTTGTAGTAACACTAAATTAAACTGCTGTAAAAAGTGCATCATTTAAGTATTTTTTTCTTTTTGATTTTGCATAGATCTGTTAATCAACCTCAGTCCTGATCAAAACTACAAAACTTTTTAGAAAATTACAGGATTTTACCTCTTTAGTTGCCAAGTTCACAAACGATGTCACTGATTTGGTGAAAAATACACACAAAATGACATATTTTTAAAGTTATAATAAAATAATACTGTTTGTTATAAAGTAATTGTGAACAGGATTTTTTACCTTTTATCACATTCTTGGACAAGTTAGTAACAACATTGGCTTTGATGCATTGTTTGATTTTATTTTTTTCTCCCTAATTTACTACTGGTGGCTGTTTTTGCCCCAATTGACTTCCATTATAACCACATTTGACGGTGCATAATTACACAGTCTTTGTTTATTTACTCCATGTAGTTTTGAGAGCTGAGATACATATATAGATTTTCTCAGACACATAAGCCTAAGTGCTTAAAGGTCAAACTCTCACAGACAAACACACACACACACACACACACACACACACACACACACACACACACACACACACACACACACACACACACACAGTAATTTGCTTTTTTACTCCATATAAAATCCAGAAACTAAGTTTATTTATTTTTTTGCTCCCACTTTATATTAAGTGTCCTTAACTACTATGTACTTACATCAGAAAATAAATACAATGTACTTACTGTGTTTATAATGTGTTTGAAAACGCTTCTGGTGCATTTGAGTTGGGATAGAGGTTGGGTTATGGACAGGTTTGGTGGCATGGGTAGGTTTAAGGGTGGGTTAAGGTGTAAGGCAGTGGTTCTCAAAGTGGGGGTCGGGACCCCCCAAGGGGTCGTGGGACAATGAAGGGGTGGGGGGGGGGGGGTCGCCTGGTGATTTCCAAAAATCTATTTATTTTTATTAAACCATAAGAATTACCATATTTTATTCATAACCTACTGAAAAGAAAAAAATAGTCATTTATAGTCACTATATAATACTGTATATAGTTACTATATTAGCTTATAGTTACTAGTTCTATTGGATTGCGATCGCTGGGGTAATTACATTATATTAAATACACAGCAATAGCTTCAGATGCAACAGATTGATGACCAGGTTAAGTTTTCTGGCTCATTTACAGCCCTAACATACATAAAAAAAACATCTACGAAGAATAGACTTTGGTCTATTGGTGTGTGTGCGCCATTGCATGCAAAGTTTCTGTACTTATAACCACCTCAGAGGATATTGGGGGTCGCGAGCCACTGGCATTGTTATTTTAGGGGTCGCGGGCTGAAAAGTTTGGGAACCCCTGGTGTAAGGGATGGTCAACAGTGTATTTACAAATGTAATTACAAAAGTTAATTACATACATGTATTTAATCAAGCATAAGTACATAGTAAATACATGTATTTACACAATAAGTACATTGTAACAAACTCTTAATTCCTGTGTAAGTACATATTAGTTAAGGCCACTTAATATAAAGTGGGACCATTTTTTTTTTTTTTTTTTTTTTTGCACAGGTCTATATAAAGGGTTATTGATGCCAAAGGATGATCAACAGTAAAAATGACAAATGTTACCTCTTCCCAACAGAGAAAACCAACAATAAAAACTGCATGATTATATGGTGTCATGCTTTTGTCATCAAAACGTGGTTAATGAAAGTCAAAAGGGCCACCAACAGCAAATTAGGGAGAAAAAAAGAAAAGAAAATCTGCACAAAAATGCATCCAAGCCAATGTTGTAATCGTTCACATGTCCAAGACTTTGAAAACCGGTAAAAAAATCCAGTCCACAATTATTTTTAATATTGAAAATAAGTCATTTTGACTGTGTTTTTTCACCAAATCAGTGACATCATTTATGAATTTGGCAATTAAATAGTTAAAATCCTGTAATTTTCCTGTAACTTTTGATAAATTTTAATCAGGACTGAGGTTGATTAACATATGTAAAAAGAAATTAAAAAAAATATTTATCTGATGCATTTTTACTACAGTTTAATTAAGTGTATGTTTTCATCCCGAACTCAACAAAAGGGTAGTAAATTTGCCCTTTCTGCTATAGCTGAAACAAAAATCACCCGAGTGGATGAAAACATCCTAAATAGTACATAAGGGTTGGTGTGAAATAACTGAACATAAACAGGAGGATGCTTGTTGATTCAAACATAAATTAAAGATGGCATTTAGAGTTTTTGCATCTGAACTCTTCATCTGTCTTCGCCTAAAGATGTGGTGTCAGCACTCTTATTTTAATGAATAGAACTGTTTAAATGCGCCCAAATCTGAGCACTATATATTATTATTAAATATTAAAAATGGAGCAAAAACAATCTGTTGATTCATCCTAACAACAATTATGATATGCGGTGAATTTCATAAGACGCTCACCTGTATTCGCAAAGCTCATCACCATGTCGGCATCACTGAGAAAGCGACTGTCCTGCTGGGTCACCAGCGGGGGTCCCGGGGTCGTGTACGCGGGTTCATAAGAGTACACAAGCCCACCGCGCCTGTCTCCGTCCTCCAGGATGGCGTTATACAGATCCAGCATGTACATGGGAGCCGCGGTGTGTCTCTCGTGCAGGAGCGGACGTGGCCGTTGCGGCAGCCCGAGGATAGAGAGGATTTCCCGCTGCATCTCTCTGCGCTCCTGGCTCTTCAGGCGCCGCTGGATGAAGCTGGACTGAATGTCATTATCCATGGTGAAGTTTGCTTGCATTGCGTCTGCGAGCACACTGCAACCACAAGCCACTATCAAAGTGGAAATAAGATGCACTGGAAACATTTTTAGAGTCATATATTCTTAAAAAAAATAACAAGAGTTAAGCAGAAGTCCACAATCGATTAGTGAAGTATTGTTATTATTTCGTTTGAGCATAACATGAAGTTGAGTCTGTATTGAATGCCATACACGTGTTGATTAATCCAATCCAGAGCAACATCCAGGATGATCTGAGGTTGAACTGACGGTCTCGGCTTCTACTGATGTCTAAACGCTTTAAATAGCCCGCTGTAGTTCGTGGGTGGAGCGCGCGCGCACATGGGCTGTCTCTTAATACACAACTGCAGAAACTAGTTAGGTAGCTAGATAATTGGAACGTTTTATTCCTTATCATTTGACATTATACGTTTAGGATTGATACCTATTTTCATTTGTAAATACAGTAAAGATATAGTTCAGCCAAAAAGTTACATTTACTCACAATTAACTCAAATCGCTGCTGAAAAATCCAGCTTAAACCAGCCTAGGATGGTTGGCTGGTTTTAGCTGGTCGACCAGCCTAGTTTTAGGGGGGGGTTTGCCCACTTTCCAGCCATTTCCAGCCTGGTCTTAGCTGGTCAGGCTGGAAAGTGACCAGTTAAAACCATTTTAAACCAGCTTGACCATCCTGGTTTAAGCTGGACATAGCTGGTTTTTGCTGGGCTCTCAGCCTGGCTAGGCTGGTCAAGCTGGTTTTAGCTGGTCATCTCCCAGCCTGACCAGCTAAAACCAGGCTGGAAATGGCTGAAAACCTGCCTGGAAGTGGCCAAAACCCCTCTAAAACGAGGCTGATTGACCAGCTAAAACCAGCCAACCATCATAGGCTGGTTTGAGCTGGATTTTTCAGCAGGGATGGTTAAAAACATTTATGTTTTTCTTTCTTCTGCTAAACACAAAGGAACCTGCTATGTATTTTTGTAGGAAACACAGTTTAGATCTGTTTAGGGTAAGTGGTCTGGGAGTTATTGCTGTCGGTCTATCACTGAATGTGTCAGGAATATCAAAACAAAACCAACTTAGCTCCGCTCCTTTAGCGCCCCTCACACAGTTTGATCCACGCTGGCATTTTTTTTGACACCTTTTTGGCATTTGTTTTGAAAAGGAAAAAAATTCCACCATCCTGTCCAAACTTTAGGGATACCGGGTAACAGATTTGCACAATCCATATGCACTCGCTCGAAAGCTTGACAGAGCCCCTGCGCGTAGCTACAGTTGCTAAGCCACGATTGGTGGGTGGCGGTTTTTGGGTGTGGCTTAGCCAAGGGTCAATTGCTTTAAACCGGGCCGAAGCACGATTGTCCCCCCTTCTGTCTCCCCTGACGGCACGCACTCACATTGCATTCGCGCCTGAGCACTCTTATGTCATCAATGATGCGCTGTTCAGTTTAAGAACTCTCGCTCAGCATAGCAGAGATTTCTTTAGTTATATCGGTTTAGTCGTTTAATATGCAGTGACACGCAGTTAAATATTTCACCAAACAGATCAGCCACTTTTGAATCTCATACACAAATATAAAGTCCTCATGCTGCAGGAATTAGGAGGTTTGCTAAAGGTGCAGCTGTCATGCAGTGAGGGGTTTGCGTCTTTAATGATCTACGACAGTTTGTGTTGATTGAACAATAAGAACGATTAATAAACACATATGAAACAGTCCCTTAAAAGTCATGTTTCGTCTTCAGTTTCGGGCTCAGGCACGCTTTGAACTCAAGCCCAATTAAACCGCGCTCTGGCACACCTCATCCAACCCGAGCCAGGGCTGGCCAGCTGAACCATGCCTGAGCCCGATTCAGAGCACTCACACTTCTCAAACGATCTGGAAACGGACCTGGGCACGGTTCGGATAGCATAGTGTGAGTGCACCCTAAGACATGAGATGAGATGACAACTAGGCCTATTTTAGTTAAATCATCACGATCAAATTTTGCAAATTTATTTGACAGTTAAGTAAACCAAATACGTATAGTGCCAAAACCGAATTTCCCTTTATACCATTGAGGTTAAAGCCACAGTTCATCTCATTTTTTATTATTTTTTTTGTACAATATATTTACTACTTTTTCAATTTGCATATCACAACAAATTACACAATTACAGAACAAGAATCATGAATTCACAGCAAACTTTTTACCCCCCATTCTCCCTCCCAACAACCCATTCTCTTAAAAAAAAATAAAATAAATAAATAAAATAAAAAGAAATAAACAAATGAATAAATATAATAATAATAAATACATTAAAAAATTAAAAAGGGTATATGTTTAAATCAGGTAGAGAGTGTTTCCTGAGTCTGTTTAGACCATGATACTTCCCATATTCCTAAGCTTGTTCTTGTTGTAGTAGACTGTCAACATTTACATTGTACTTCAGGAAGTTATTAAAAGGTCTCCAGATATCTTCAAGCACATTTTGTTTCTTTTTGACAATGTACGTGACCTTTTCCATTGACATATGTGATGCCACGACCTTTCACTTGTTTAAAAGCTGAGTTTATTTCTTCTGCTGATTACAATAATGAAAAATGCTGCTTGATGGTACCCATTGACCTCCTTAGTACTTATTCCCTGCTATGGAAGTCAATGGGTACCCTTAACCAGCATTTCTCAAAATATCCCCATTTGTAATTAATGGAAAAAAGAAACTCGAAAAGGTTTAAAACCACATGAAGGAGAGAAAACTATAGGGTAATTTTAATTTTTGGGGGAAATATACCATTAATAAATGTACCCTTATCAATGAAAACACCCAACAGGCAGAACATCCTTGACGTTACCATGTTGCACTCCGTTATCTGCCTTAATCTCAGTCCGATTAGAGAGCAAACATCAGACAAGTCATGACAGGAGCTTGTTAAGGTCTGTAAAACACAATAGAATGACAGCTTCAGCATGCTGAACTGCCGTGTTGCTCACCACCTGCTGTGGATAGTGGCCCTTCAACCCTACGCCATAGGCTTGAGTGCAGCCTGGAGACAGGTCTGGCAGCCAGCACCACCCTGTGCTTCCAATGTGCGTGTGTATATGTGTGTGCACACGCCAGCCTGAGCCAAAAGGTCAAACTAGTCCCACACCCTGGTTAGCTCATACATACTGCCCATGCCGAAAGGCACCAGTGATCTCACCAGCCACTTTCTTTGGCCTGCGATTAGTCTTTCCCAGACAACTTTTTCCCCTGTAAATCTGGTCTGCCATTGGGTGGGGGTTGATAGTTGGGTGTAGGGGGGTAGTCCAAACAATTCTTACACCCCTATGATGAGTGGCCCAATAAGGCCAGCCTATACTCATGAGTCCCATTTAAACAAAAAGACACACCCAATTTTAAGGCAGACATTTAGCCCAGTATATATATATATATATATATATATATATATATATATATATATATATATATATATATATATGAGTACATCCCCACAATTCTCTCATTTAAGATGCTTAAAAATATTATATTTGTACATATAATGTTAGAGTCAGATTTATTAGCCCCCCTGAATTATTAGCCCCCATTTATCCCCCCCCCCCCCCCCCCCCCCCCCAATTTCTGTTTAATGGAGAGATTATTCTTTTCAACTAATTTCTAATCATAAAAACTCATCTCTAATAACTTATTTATTTTATCTTTGCCATGATGACAGTAAACAATATTTGACTGGATATTTTTCAAGACACTTCTAAACAGCTTAAAGTGACATTTAAAGGCTTAACTAGGTTAATTAGGTTAACTAGGCAGGTTAGGGTAAAGAGTTTTGTAAATGAACAAAAACCAATGAATTGATCGACGCATATGAAGTATGATGATAGTCGAATAGAAGTGTTGAGCTTTTATGTCTGCTGAAGACAATTACAAACAGCAGCAGAAAACTGAAAAGGGGCAGTGACCAAATGTAGTGTAAACTTTGGATATACAAAGGTTAATAAAACTACTAGGTATGGGCCGGTATGATAACCCTGGATAAACAAATCACGGTATTGTGATTACTGCACTAAGATAAATTCTTTTTAAATGTCTGAGCAAAAAACAACAACTTGAACACTAGGGGCCCTACCATACACCCGGCGCAGTGTGGCGCAAGGCGTGGCGCAGTAGTCTTCTAGTGGTTTCAGCTTGGCGCAAGAGTCGTTTTGAGGCGTTGCGCTACGCTGTTTAAATAGCAAATGCATTAGCGCTCATTTGTGCGCCCATAGGCGTTCTGGTCTAAAAAGGAAGGCGTTTCGAGGCGACCGCTGACGCGTTGCTATTTTGAGAATCTATAATAGATTTTTCATTAGACCAAAACAAACCCGGTCTAAACTCCGGTGCAGAGTTTCGCCTCGCTTACGCACTGCTTAATACGCACAAGAGAGCAATAGGCAAATATCTTTACATATGAAAAAATGTAAATATTAAGGATATATATATAGGATATAATAAGAATAGATATAAGATATAAATATAAAGGATTAAAATATTACAAAACATATTATTTTCTAGCCTACATAAATATGAAAAATCACTGCTTTTATGTCTTCTTCATCTGGGGAGGCTTTTTCAGTTCATTCATAACAATTTGCTTTTGTATAATGTTATTATTATTAGCAGTATTATTTATTATATCCATATTTATATTTGTTTTATTAAAAACAAGCTTAGATTTGCCCACCTGTCAGAATTTAGACCATATGGGGCATGGCAGGTGTATTTGGAAATAACTCAGTATTTTGACCACACTCAGTCATTATTGTTCATTTATTCGTTTGCTGGAAATTAGAACTGAATTTAGAAATAGTTTTGAAACAAATCTTTGCGCTTAACAAACAAAGGTATTTATTTATAGACTAATTGATGTCTGTGCGTAAAGGTTTCCCTATCCAAGAGCGAATGTGTAAGTAGATCCATTATCTCTCATTCTCAGCAGTAGATGCTCTGTTTAACAGTTTTCTGTTTAAAAACTGTTAACTGTTAACTGTTTGCTAGTGAAATGCTCATTTTTTCCACTTAGACTTACTTTGCGTCCTGTAAATAGCAAATGCGCTCTTGGCGCGACGCAGCTGGGTCTTAAAGGGAATGGGAGATGAGACTCTAATTGGTTTATTCTCAAAACACACCTATAACTCATTAAGAAATTAAACTCAACCCTTTTAGCCCATGCGTCACGGAGCAAAGCAGGTTTTCCCGTCCTTAAATTATCAAAAATGCGTTCTGGCCCTGAAAGCGTTTGCGCCCTGCGTTTTGCGCTCTGCGTATGGACCGTCAAAATAGAGCCCTATATGTTTTATTTTAGGAAAGATTTATAATATTTCAGTCAATGTGCCAGGCTAAATAATTAAATAAATCATTGACTTCTGCTCGCTTCATTTCAAAATCACAGACTTCTTTACAACACAAAAAAACCTTACATATACCTTAGGAGCTGTATAGCAGATCATTTTAGCCGTTTTAAAATCTTGACTTTTACAAACCGCGGTAATCCTTGAAACCAGTTTTCATCCCATGCCTAAAATCTACTAGAGTGCAGACTTCGACATGTTTTCTAAATGTTAAGAAATGAATGTAAATATAGTGGAGTTTTCCCAATAAGATGTTTGTAAATGAACAGAAAACAGGAGAGGATTACAAACATCAGCAGCAGAAAACTGAAAAGGGGCAGTGACCAAATGTAGTGTAAACTTTGGATATACAAAGGTTAATAAAACTAATAGGTATGGGCCGGTATGATAACCCTGGATAAACATACCATGGTATTGTGATTACTGCACTAAGATAAATTCTTTTTAAATGTCTGAGAAAAAAAAAAAAAAAACAACTTAAACACTATATGTTTTATTTTAGGAAAGATTTATAATATTTTGGAACTGTAAACATGTCAGGCTAAATAATCAAAATAAATCAATGATTTTTGCTGTCTTCATTAGCATTAAAACCACAGATTTTTTACAAGACAGAAAAAAACCTTACATAAACCTTAGGAACGGTATAGCAGATCATTTTAGCAGTTTTAAAACATTGACTTTTCCAAACTGTGGTAAACTTGAAACTGGTTATCGTCACATGCCTGAAAACTAAATATAAAAATGCAAATATATTAGAGTTTTCCCAATAAGAGTTTTGTAAATGAACAGAAACCAATCGATTTGTCGACCTGATTGAAGAGAAGGCCAATTCGTTAAAGAATACAGTTGACGGTGATGAGTATTAAATGGCGCACCAACAAAACCTATTGCTACATGGTAAATAACATTCAGTTTGTAAGGGAGAGTTTAATGAAGCTGGTCTGTTATAGGCAGGAGATGGTTTAAAATTCTGACAGTTTGATAACCTTGAATAAAAATATCACGGTTTCACAGTATTTTTATTACTGCTCTGAAATATATTCTTTTAAAATGTCTGGGTAAAAAACTAACGTTTTCCCCTCTGAACATAATATATTTTATTTTAGAAACTTTTCAAATATTTTTTAACAGTAAACATCCCAGCAGGCACAGGACATCAACAAGACGTCAGGTTGATGTTGTATCACAATAGGGGACGTTGCAATTTGTTTGGAATTGAAAATAGGTTTTAGTCAGAACCCAACGTCCAACCTAAAATCAACCAAATATCAATATGTCAATATGACGTTGGTTTAGGATGTTGGCTCGACATTCGATTTTGGTCACTTTCCAGCACAACCTAAAATCAACCAAATATCAACGTCTAATGAGGTTACAGCTTGACAATGTGCGGACATTATCATGATGTCTATTAGACATTGTATTTTGGTGGATGAATAAATGTCAGTATTTGACATCCATATGACATCGGTTTACGATGTTGCCTCGACGTTGGACTTTGGTCACTTTCTAACACAACCTAAAATCAACGTCATTATTGGACTTCAAATTAGTGTTGTCCCTAAACGCTGGCTAGACATTGAATTTTGGTCACCTGAAGTTACAACCTTCATCTAAACTAATACTAACATCTTATGATGTGTTCCTGTTGGGATGTCAGGCTAAATAACTAAAATAAATCATTGAATCAATCCTTCTGCTGTCTTCATTTGTTTCAAAAACAGATTTCTGAACAATTTAAAACAGATATTTTGAGATCTTTTCTGCTGGGAATACCGTTGTCCTAAAAAAAAAAAAATATATATATATATATATATATATATATATATATATATATATATATATATATATATATATATATATATATATATATATATATAAAATCTTACACATACCTTAGAAACAGTATAGCAAAAAAATTTGGCAGTTTTAAAACTTTTTTTATACCTTAAAAACGGTTATGGTCACATATCTAGTCTGTAAATGAAATCCCCATAATCCTAAATTGGTAATACAGTTAATTTGACATTTTTTACTGTTAATTTGACCAAAAGAAGATCTTTTGAAGAAAGCTGGAAACCTGTTATCATTGACTTCCAGTGCATTTGATCAATGGTTACAGCTTTCTTCAAAATGTCTCTCATAAAGGTTTGAAGCCACTTGAGGGAGAGCAAATAGTGAGTACATTTTAATTTTAGGGTGTACTATCCATTTAAAGAAACATGTATGTATTGTAATAGCCCAAATTCTAATAGTTTGTAATGCAAATTAATAAGATTAAACTATGCATTTAAGCTTCAGCTCTTGTATCTCCTAATAAGATATCTGAATATTGCAATATGTAAATGCATAATATAAATATTACAAAAGCTTTATATAATACAGAGGGCAAAATATGTAAAGGAATAATGCAATGATGATCAAGAAATCTACAATAAATGTTCAGAAAAGCTCATACTTGTATGTTAGCATGATAAAAATAAAAAAGTACATACAGTTAAGTTAAAATGAGTTGTGTCAGTCTAGTAAGCGTCCACTTTAAAAAGTAAACGAATTAAAATATAATTGTTAACAGCATAAATGTGTGTATCACAACCATGACAGTATGTATCCATCAAAGAGCAGAGGTTAGCGTTATGTTTTGATTGCTTTAGCTTACGTAACTGCAAATTTATTATAAATAGTTCAATTCAAAAAGGTTTCAAACAATCTTCCATGTTATTTCATTTTAGGTTTTGTTTAAATGAAGTGGTCTAGCAAGACTAAAAGCAACTGGGGATGTTTTGCACCACATAGGCTTACCTTTTCCTGGGGGAAGGGCTCTTGCTAATATCAATGTAGATGGGAGATTATCCCAGGCCTGCTAATTCAAGATTTGACTCTCTTTGTGTTAAAACAATGGTCAGGGAGCCGCCTTTATTCGCTGACAAGATATTCAGAAGATTATATATTCTATTTACAAAAGCAAAGATATGTGCTAATTTAATCACACAAATAGGTGCTAATTGCCTTCCATCAAACGTGCAAATTTGTACGTCTCCAATTGTGACCGCGCGAGCTACGTCTACACATTCACGGCGAGATGACTCAAATATTGTGCATAAACAACAACCACAACACAATTCTTATTTATAAAATGTCAATTTGTATAAAAAACGAAATTTAGGAGCAACATATTTTAGCCTTTTGAGGTTAAGTTGGTTTTATATTCGCACATTCAGTGACAACGTGACAGCTAGCTCCCTATTGTTTACCATGGTACTTTGAATATTCAGTCTAAAATCACATGCAAGTATGACTTGAAAACAATATTAGCACTATATATTTGACTATAAACATGTGTATTTTGATAGTCATGTTGTACTTTGATAGTCATTGGCTGCTAATATGATTTTACCATTTAGAAATTTCAAATAAGACTTTTCTGGGATAAAATTACTAAGGAGGGAGTGCGAATGTGTAAATATAAACGTTACCCCAATATTTAGCCTATACTTCCACCTAGCGGAGAAATTCCGGTGTAACGGGTACACCAGCAACGGAACAAGCTGTCCTCTCATTATTAAAAAAATAATTTCAAATAATTATGGTAGTTTAAATAAAAGCTATTTTAAAGTTATGTTGGCTTCAGAAAACACTGATTATTTATTAATCATATTATTATTATTATTATTATTATTTATTATGCGAAAAAAGTAAGAATATACAATCACAGTACATTATAAAAAAATGGAAAGAAAATATTTTGGAAAAAAACAACACAAAACAAAAACAAACAGAATGGGTATATACATCAAACATTAAAGAAGAAGATAGCATAATTTACAAACTTAGATGTTTTCAAAGCCTTTTTTGTAAACGAGTTAGAAATTGTTTCAAAGTAATACTGCATTTCAGTAAGCAATATATAAAAAAAAGGTTTTTGGTTTGAAAATGTACATTTATGTATATACAATCGTGTTAATAAGATAAGAAGATTAAGAAAATATATTTTCTTTTTATGTAAAACTTGTTTTATAATTAACAAAACCAAACAAAACATTTTCCCATGGTAAGAAAAGTCTTAATCAACATTCTCAATCACAAAAAGAGAAAAATCTTTAAAGCAAACTAGAATAACTGCATTGCCAAAATAAGTGAACGAGGGAATCGGGTTGTTACTTACAAAATGAAATTTTTATTTTATTTTATTTATTTATTTATTGCAAAAAAAAAAACTGTTGACAAGTTTGTTGCAATATTTGTTTACAATACAGAATATTTCATTGTCAATGAAAAAAGATACAAGAGAAAGAAAGAAATAAATAAAGAAATAAAGAAAGAAAGAAAGAAAGAAAGAAAGAAAGAAAGAAAGAAAGAAAGAAAGAAAGAAAGAAAGAAAGAAAGAAAGAAAATAAATAAAGAACATGAAATAAACTTGAGGGTAAGATATTTAAGAATCAATTACAGTACATAAGTTAAAGTCATTACAAAATAAAAGTGTTCTGTTTGCTTTCTTATTTTTAGATAATTAAATAAAATGTAAATAATCACTAAATTCTTGCAAAAAAAAAAAAACAGGAAAATATGGTTTGGTATTAGTAAATTTGCAATTGGAATGGAATTGACAAAGAAATTGACAAAGTTTATAATGCTTTCCCAGAAATGGGTTGCAGCTGGAAGGGCATCCGCTGCGTAAAACATACGCTGAATAAGTTGGCGGTTCATTCTGTGGCGACTCCAGATTACTAAAGGGACTAAGCAAAAAGAAAAGAAAAGGAATGAATTAAGTTTTTTTTTTTCTTTTAATGATTGAAGTTTATAATGCTGAAACAACGCTCTCGCTGACGTAATGGCTTGAATAACTGCGCATGCGTAGGGACTATATAACCTAAGTTCGCTCATTCTTCCTTCCCACTTCCTACTCGCTTTTGAGGTAAGCTGAGTGTATATTGTAATTATTCATAACATATAATAGTAAGTACACGTTGAATAATTGCATTGTAGAAGTGTTTACGGTCAAATCGGAAGTATGAAACAACAAATCAGAATTTTGATGTAACTATATGCGCTGGACACGTGGCTAAGTTCGGCGCACGCGGGAAATGTGCAACAATATATACTTTTGTTAAAGTGTTGCATTTACTTGATGAATCTGGCTAAACCGTAATCGTTACATAAACGTTGGTCTGCTACACAAATGCTGCACTATAGGCAATATTCTTAAACGCCATTATTATTAGTATTAATTAGCTTTTTCTTTCTTTTTATGTAGGATGTTGACTTCGAAATCATGGAGTTTTGCCCTTGCACATTCTCAGATCTCGGTGAGTATTATTTACACCGTATTCTGCTTAACTTCTGGTAGCAATGATGACTTAATCTTTTTTCCCCAGCAGATCGACTCTGTTGACTTGTGAAACGAAAATAAGCCAAATTATCTGAGCAAACTGATGGCTATAATAAAGCCATTGTTTGTTTTAAATAACAAATTGACCATTTGTTAACATTTCCTTCACAGGTCATACTCCAACCAAACAGATGACCCCCACGTTTAAAATGGTGCAATAATAACCCCATCATACTCTGAAGCAGGTAAAGATGGATCTATTTTTTTTTTTTTTAGACCTTTTGTGCCATTTTTATCTGGTGCACGTGATGACTAACCTTTTTTCCCCAGCAGATCGACTCTGTTGACCTTTAAAACGAAAATAAGCCAAATTATCTGAACAACCAGACCGCTACAATAGAGCTATGGTTTTAAGTATTTCAATGCAACTAACCATTGTTTACCGTTCCCTTCACAGATCCCTCCCCAACCAAATGGATATTCCTGCATTTGAAAGGATTTGAGAACCCCATCGTACTCTGAAGCAGGTAAAGATGGATCTGTTCTTTAGACCTTTTGTGCCATTTTATCTGGTGCACGTGATGACTAACCTTTTTTCCCCAGCAGATCGACTCTGTTGACTTGTAACACGAAAAATAAGCCAAATTATCTGAGCAACCAGATGGCTGCACTAAAACTGTGGTTGTATAAATTTCAGTTTCAATTAACTTGTTACAATTCCTCTCCTCACAGATCATACTTCAATCAAATGGATGGTCCTGAATTTAGAAGGATTCAATAACCCCATTATACTCTGAAGCAGGTGTGGATACATTTATTTTTCTGGGGGGGCTATTTACTTGGTGCACATGATGACTGACCTTTTTTCCCCAGCAGATCGATAGTGTTGACTCCCTTAATCAATTTAAGCCAATTTATCTGAAGCACCTTCAGAGCTGATGGACCTAAAAAGTAGATGTGCTCTAGTTTGTAACGCTTTTTTTTTTTTTTTTCTCTCCTTCTAAAGGCCAAGACCCAATTCAAGATGATCAGGGGAGTTTTACATGCCACCCAACATGTTAATGCCACACCTTCAGAGAGAAGCAGGTGGTCCAGTGTCTGGAGAAGAGAATTTGGGTGGAATGTTACAAATTCTGCTTGGTGTTGCAGATTAGTTCTATTAATAAACCCTGGAACTTAAGTGTGTTTGTTTAATTATTTATCTATTTTTTATAAATGGTTCATATTCAAGCTGGAATTTTATTTTCAATAAACAATTGGATCTTTAACCTGACTTTTTTTTTTTTTTTTTTTTTTTTTTTGATCTACAAATTAAGTTTGTAATCAAATAGTCACATTGGACTAAATAGGTACAATTACAGTAAGTTTAATGTAATTGCACAAAGGTTTGTTAAAGTTTAATCACACTTTTTTTTTTTTTTTCTACCCTCTTTAAGCCAACAATACCCATTATTGCCTCATACCCACATTATACTTTAGTTTGTCCTAAACTCAAAGTAAATATTTGAATACACTTAAAAGAACATAAAAACGTGCTGCTTATTTGAATAAATTACCTTTTTGGATTGTCAAAAAAAAAAAACAGCCACCCTACGTCACATTACCGAAGGAATTATTTTATTTCACAAATAGCAAATAGTTTACGCCACCTATACAGGGGTTGTAGAAAACATTGCCCATTAGGTTCACCTTATTAATTCAGGGTAGAATAATAATTTTTTTTTTTGTGTGTGTGTGCTACGTAGTGGTAATGGTGAAATGAAGCTTTCTGAACTTTCCAATTCAAGTGTATTGGAAAAAGATTAGTTTCTTGAAGCTTTTTAAATCCGAGCTCGATAAGGATCCATGTTGTCTAAAGTGTGGGAAAGCACTGTGTTGCAAAAAATGTCAAATGTTCACAACTGACCAACTCATTCATGTAGTCATACAACGGTAATATAAACAAATTACTCAATTATTGTAGGTTTTTTTTTTTTTTTTACATATAACATGCTTTATATAACACTATTGTTGACTAGTAAAATCCAAGATATTGGATATTTCATATTTCAGTCTGTCATACTCCTATCCACTTGTTTTGAATAGGGAGTGAACTGATGGTTCCTGTATGGGAGGCTATCAGAGTGAGGCTTATGGGCTGCACTCGCCAGCTCAGCTGGCCTCCGTTACACTTACTACAATATGCAGTGGCCTTCTTTGAAATAAGTTAAAGAATAACAGACTTTAGTATAGTCCAAAAGCTTTTTACTACGAATTATTATTGTATTTCAGTTGAATTACTGGTGTGTGGGACTGGTGCAGTACTTCGAAACAGCAGAAATGTATGTAATCAACACCTAATCTCTCGCTATACACTTTACTAACCAAAAGGTGGTTAAACCTTTGAATCAAAATTCGAAGCAGTCATGTGGGTATAGGCGAAAATGAAGCTTCGGACGTCACTGATCATATGATTATGGCAAAATGAATCAAGCTCCAGTACCCCGCTCACTGCGATCATTGAGATTTGATACATGCTTCAAAGCCTCGATGCACAACATCACATCACTTACTAAGAAGCCTATTAAAGCTCATAACTGTATACAGCTAAACTTTTTTATTATTTGAAGTTACTTCAATTTGTTCCACCCCCGTTTAATCCCCATAAAGTAATATTCACACGTTTTTGTACAAAATATACAGATGTCTAGAAAGACCTTAGATAAAAACATGTATATTGCACAGCATTGTTAGAAGAAATCTGCATGATGCTGTATGACCACAGTTTGCATCTGCAGAGAACCTCAAAGTAACAGCCATGTATTATGATCCAAATAACCTAAAAAAAGAAAGAAAACAATACTTAATAACACCGCTATATTTGGAACTACTCTCCCGCAATAAAAACAGTAAACAAAATATTGGTTTATTGCCAGTACTTACACGATCATGCAAAACATCATGAAAATATTCCAAAGGGCAATGAATATGCGAAAGTACCGCAGACTCAGCAAAAACTCCCTGATGTTTTCACCTAAAGACAAATAAGGCAGGGTAAGACTGAATATAATACTAACACAGTGCCACATATAGAACATTAAAGGGCAGGTATGAGTTGGGCAACCAGTATATAAAAATAAGAATACAGTGCCACATACAGAAAATGAGATGGCAGGTATGGGTTGGGGAATTAGTCAGTATATAATACAATTAATACAGTACCACATATTGAACATCAGAGGGCATATATGGGTTGGGGAATCAGTGATTTTATAATAATAATAATAATAATACAGTCCCTATGGGTTAGGGAATCAGTCAGTATATAATAATATTAATACAGTACCACATATAGAAAATTAGTATGGGTTAGGGAATCAGTCAGTATATAATAATATTAATACAGTGCCACAAATAGAAAATTAGTATGGGTTACGGAATCAGTCAGTATATAATAATATTAATACAGTACCACATATAGAAAATTAGTATGGGTTATGGAATCAGTCAGTATATAATAATATTAATACAGTACCACATATAGAAAATTAGTATGGGTTATGGAATCAGTCAGTATATAATAATATTAATACAGTACCACATATAGAAAATTAGTATGGGTTAGGGAATCAGTCAGTATATAATAATATTAATACAGTACCACATATAGAAAATTAGTATGGGTTATGGAATCAGTCAGTATATAATAATATTAATACTGTGCCACATATAGAAAATTAGTATGGGTTACGGAATCAGTCAGTATATAATAATATTAATACAGTACCACATATATAAAAATTAGTATGGGTAACGGAATCAGTCGGTATATAATAATATTAATACAGTACCACATATAGAAAATTAGTATGGGTTACGGAATCAGTCGGTATATAATAATATTAATACAGTACCACATATAGAAAATTAGTATGGGTTAGGGCAGTGGTTCCCAAAGTGGGGGTCGGGACCTCCCTAGGGTTCGCGGTATAATGAAGAGGGGTCGCCTGGTGATTTCCAAAAATCTATTTATTTTCAATTAACCACTAGAATTACCATTTTTTATTGAAGGAAATAAAATAGTTGTTTATAGTTGCATGCAATATTGTTACTATAGTAGCTTATAGTTACTAGTTCTATTGGATTGCGACCCCTGGGGTAATTACATAATATTAAAGACACAGCAATAGCGTCAGATGCAGCAAATTAATAAAAAAAATAAACGAAGAATAGAATTGGGTCTATTGGAGTGTGTGCACCATTGCATGCAAGGTTTCTGTATTTATAACCACCTCAGAGGATATTGGGGGTCACGAGTCACTGGCATTGTCATTTTTGGGGTCGCAGGCTGAAAAGATTGGGAACCCCTGGGTTAGGGAATCAGTCAGTATATAATAATATTAATACTGTACCACATATAGAAAATTAGTATGGGTTGGGGAATCAGTCAGTATATAATAATATTAATACTGTACCACATATAGAAAATTAGTATGGGTTGGGGAATCAGTCAGTATATAATAATATTAATACTGTACCACATATAGAAAATTAGTATGGGTTGGGGAATCAGTCAGTATATAATAATATTAATACTGTACCACATATAGAAAATTAGTATGGGTTGGGGAATCAGTCAGTATATAATAATATTAATACTGTACCACATATAGAAAATTAGTATGGGTTGGGGAATCAGTCCGGGGTGGCGACAGGATTTTGTTCAAAAGAATGCACATATCCAGCACCACCCTATCCATCATCCCTTATTCTTATTTCCATCTCAAAAAACACTGATGCTTGCTGTCAAAGGCTACATTATTGAAGGGCAAGTGCGACAGAGACAATGAAAGCACATCATTGTATCTTAGTTTGAATATATTTTATGTTGGGCAGTTATCTACTAGATAAACAAGAATAATGAATAACATCTGAGGTGAAGTGCTTCAAAACCAGTCTCAAACTCTTTTGAAAGGGTGAGAGAACTCAGACACTCATAAGAATGAAGATGTCTGCTTATCTGTGCCAGTCTGTCAGATATCATTGTTTAAAACACTTGAATGGTAGCGGTATCATACGAGGAGGCTGCGAAGCCACGAGCTGGGCCTGGAGTTCCCCTGGCACAGACACAGATGAGAGGTCTCATGAGCAATATTTTTCTCAATAGTTTTGGGCCTTTTGGCAAACTAATCAATTAAGTGTAGCTGTTTGAAAGAGCGTTTGCTCATTTTGAACCTTGTTTTAAACAATAGCTATCTGATTTGTATTTTTTAGTGTGCGGTAAAACCGCCAGCAAAACTAAAGCCAATAGATTTCTTTACCCATCTCCCATTATGCAAGTGCATACACACTTTCAAACACACAAATGCAAACTTTTATTTATTCTCATTCTTGCTTTGTCAATATAACGTAGTGTACACTGTTTAATAACCAATTTGAATTATGTAAAAAATTAATTTAAAAAAAGCTGCATTACTTTGCCTCTCATGGTAGGTACGCACAGTGTGTACAGTCGTACAGCTGCAGGCCCCACTGAATCAGTCAGTACATAATATTATTACAGTGACACAAAGAAAATCATAGGGCAGGTATGAGATGGGAATCAGTCAGTATATAATAATATTAATACAGTGCCTCATATAAAAAATTTGAGGGCAGGTATGAGTTGGGGAAGCAGTGATTATATAATAATATTAATACAGTGACAAATATAGAAAATTAGAGGGCAGGTATGAGTTGATAGAGGTAAAGTTGGTTTTATATTCGCACTTTCCCCTTAATAATAAAATTTTGAAAAGTATTATTTGCAAATTCGAAATTGGGAAATCATATTAGTAGCCAATGATTATCAAAGTTTTCCCAGAGATGGGTTGCGGCTGGAAGGGCATCCGCTGCAGAAAAACTTGCTGGATAAGTTGGCGGTTCATTCCGCTGTGGCAACCCCGGATTAATAAAGGGACTAAGCCGACAAGAAAATGAATGAATGTTTATCAAAGTACAGCATTGTTTACAGTCAATTAGATAGTGTTAATGTTGTTTAGAAGTCATACTTGCATGCTAATTACGATCGAATATTCAAAGTAACATGGTAAACAATATAGACACTTCTAGATAAAGGAATATAGAACCAACTTTACCTCTATTATGAGTTGTAGAATCAGTATACAATAATTTAAGTTGCATATTGAGCTCGGAAGAAGTATTTTACCATTTATTAACGCGTTTTACGTCGATCTGAAAACATTTACAAACAATATTCATAATAAAAATCGCTGATGTAAAGTTATTGTTTACCAGTGCTGGATGATCCAGAGTCATCGCCAAATCCTTGAGACTGTGTTTCTCTCTTCTTTCTGCAAAAGACAGCGAACATCACCGTTTAAACAAGCTATCATTAAAACTAAAACTGTCAGGTAACATTTAGTTATCTTTACCGATACTCACAGTTTAAAGTTGAGCACAGCACCAGCGTTCATTAGCAGGGTGCTGAAAGTTGTGACGTGGAAAAGAAAACACACAGTATTTACACTGTAACAATATTATACTACACACACGACCAACACAAATAACGTATTATTTATTACAGACTCGAAATATATTAGGCTTTTATAAAAACGTTTCGATTTACCCAAAAATTAAAAGATCTCCAATCATTTTGGTTGATTATATCCGTCTCAGTTCTTCTTCTTCTTCTTCTTTGTTGTTGAGTTTATTTGGCGGTTGACAAGCGCCTTTTGCGCTATTACCGCCACCAGCCGGTTTGGAGCCAAAACATTCCTCCAACAACAAATTCTAACAATTAAATCCCAAATCCTTCCAAGTAAAATAGATTCTGTCAAAAACTGAAGCCAGAGATTTTAACAGATATATTTTTATTGTTTTCCCCTCGGTTCGTCGTCTTCCTTTAACGACACATAGTGAAGATATCATCAAATTTAAGACTTTCTAAGACCATTAAAGCACTTTGAATTGCCACTGTGAATGAAATGCCTTGCCTTTACATAAGTAGGAAAAGTCCCAAAAGGACATTACAAAATGCACTTCAGAATCTAAGTAATAGAGTGTTAAGATAGGGAAAAATGTGGCCGGAAAATGTGCACAAGTGACAGGGATGATCGCAGCCTTGAGAGGATTGTCAAACAAAGGGGATTCAGAAATATGGGGCAGTTAGAACAAATTGTGATGAAAACAAACGTAAATACTTGAAAACGAGAAATTGTTGTGAGAATTTGTGAGAAGGATCAAATTTGGTATAAACAAACCGTTTCTTTGTTTTTTCATTTTGAAAACAAGAAAACCAGTTATACGCAGGTCCACGACTCTAAAACTCAGAATCGCGAGTTTGTGTCAGAACTATTAGCCCCCTTTGATTTTTTTTTCTTTTTTAATATTTCCTGAATGATATTTAATAGAGCAAGGAAATTTCCACAATATGTCTGACAATATTTTTTCTTCTGGAGAAAGTCTTATTTGATTTATTTTGGCTTGAATAAAAGCAGTTTTTGAATTTTAAAAAATAGTTTTAAGGTCAAAATTATTAGCCCCTTTAAGCTATATTTGTTTCGATAGTCTACAGAATAAACCATCGTTATACAATAACTTGCCTAATTACCCTAACCTGCCTAAACAACCTAATTAAACCAGTTAAGCCTTTAACTGTCACTTTAAGCGGTATAGAAGTGTCTGGAAAAATATCTAGTCAAATATTATTTACTGTCATCATGGCAAAGATAAAATAAATCAGTTATTAGAGATGAGTTATTAAAACTATTATGTTTAGAAATGTGTTTTAAAAATCTGCTCTCCGTTAAACAGAAATTGGAGGGAAAAAATAAACAGGGGGCTAATAATTCGGGGGGCTAATAATTCTGACTTCAACTGTATATATGTATACTTTGCTATACACTTAAAAATATGTTTTAACTTGTTCAAACTATTTAAAATGAGCTGAAACAACAAAATCCTTGGGATTTCCTTGGAACAACTTAATTTTTTATGTTCAATCCACATAAATTTGTTAAAAGTGTTCAGATAACAATCAGTGTTGCAGCCATTTTCTATGAAAAATCAATTAAGTTTTTTATTTTTTCTTGCTCATTGATGAACACACAGCACTCAATATTGACAAAACACAGACTTCTTTGACACGTTTTGCAAATGTATTAAAAAATAAAAAAATAAATGATCATATAGTCCTTAATTTCCAATGATTCGGACCCTTTCCTCAGTAGGCTACTTATTAAATTGAGGTCCTGATGGGCAAACAAGTTTATAAATCATACTGAATCATTTTTAAGAATGCAAAGAAGCCAGTAGTTTCCTGTGAGCTGTAGGTTTAGGTGTATTGTGATAGAAATACAGTTTTTGTACAATATAAAAGCCAATACGGCCGCTGTAAAAGCCATTACGACCGCTACGCCCAATCCAGCCAAGGCTGTAGCGTTCACTAAGAAGGTGTTGTATTGTATAATACGCTTATAGCTATGGTTTACAAATGTAGTATTTATTTAGTATAGTAGTTATTTTATTTATTATTTATTACTATTTATTCAAGTTTAGCAGAAAATGAAATTCGGAATAGGTATGGCAATAAGGCTTTACCAAATCGAGCCTGGCTTGACAATCGATTAGTCAAGCGCTCGTTGTGGCCATGGAGTGAGCAGCAGCTGATGCGTCCGTGTGTGATTCTCCTCAGCAGCGCGCCTGAGCCTCAGCTGTGTATTAATAGGCATCTGTGTGTAAGCGGAGCCTTTTTCACTCGTGCACACGGCGAGTCTCTTTAAGATCTGTTCATGCGGTAAGGTCAGAACATCATGGAGGTGTTAGATGTCCTAAATCTGGGCGAAATCGCCCAGTATTTCTCGAAAATGGCGATGTTTCCAGTTTTTGATGTTGCTTATTATATCGTGTCAATACTCTACCTCAAATATGAACCAGGTAAGTGGAACTGTTTTTACAGGATCTTTGTACTTGAGCATAATTTGGGTCAAATGAAAATGGCGATTTGTTAAAAATGCACTTGATTATGGCATCATTGAATAAACGGCGTCAAATAAGAATATTTTTCTCATGCATTTTCAACAAGTGCTGTGCAGTTTGTATTCATGTTTTGTTTACTCCAACACTGTGTTTGCAATAGACCACTGGACAGTCATATTCGTGGGTATTCTATGTTTTTTTACGTTTGTGTTTTGCACGCGGGTTTTCCCCTTGTGTGTGTGGATGGGATTGAGTTGTCCCACTCGAAGAGCCTCTCCGAAACACGATAGAGTCCGTGCGCATTCCCCTGCAAGTCTCACTGCAATAAATAGAAGCGCCCTAAATAGACAGCGACAGAGGACAGGACGAAATGCAGCACAGTAAAATTTGTTAAGCAAAGCGTTTAGCTCATTTGCCTCAAAACATGTCCAAACCATATATCTCAATCTCTCAGAAGTTGTTATTACTGTAACGAATTTGACGTTTTACTCTGGACTTCCTTTTATTGATCCTTTTGTTTGTTTGTTTGTTTGTTCTTTTAAACTACATTAACGATACTTGTTTTGGGGTTATGTGGAAGAGTAAATGTGTTATAGAAATGTTATTACAAAACAACAAAACATAGTCATCATTTTAGGCTATGTATTTTATTTAAGCTACTTAAAGCTGTAGCTCAACGAAAAATAAAAATTTACACACTATTTTCTCATCCTCAAGTGGTTCCGAACCCTTATGTGTCTCTCTTTTCTGTTCAACTCAAAAGACATTTTGAAGAATGTTTAAAACCTGTAACCATTGGCTTTCATACACTCTAAAAATGTAAAAAAAATATATATATATATGTGGCTCTTTGTTTGGTTGTTTTTAACCTTTATTAGGTTGTTTATTAATAACCCAACCAGTTGGGTAAATATTTGGTGCTGTGTTGGGTTATTTTCAACTATTATTAGGTTATTTTTTTAATAACTCAACCTATTGGGTAAATTTTTTTTAATTTCAACAGTCAACTGATTTAACTGACACAGAAAATCAGAATATGCGTACGTAATTGTTTTTGGGGTGTAAAGTTTATTTAAGCTATAACTAGGCCCATACGGAATCTGCGCATGCAGAAATCCGCAGATTTTCCGCAGAATTCCGCAGATTTTTAGCCAAACATTTATTCTGTTTATTTACTTGAGTTTATTTACTTGAGTAAGTTTTTTAATTAATAACAGTAATATTATTGACTAATATGAAAATGTTCATCTGATCTATGTAAAAGGCAGTTTGTACAGTAATATTTTCTGTCTTTCAATAGATATATTCTATGAGAGACTTGCTTTGTTTACCAAATACAGTGAGTCTAATTGGATTTGCATTTTAAACATTAAATAATAAAAACGTCTTATTTTTTATTTCACATATTAAGGTTTTATGATACTACTAAAATAATTCCACAAAATCTGTTGATTTTTACCAAAATTCTCTGCAGAAATTGCAAAAAAACATCCGCAGATTCCATCTGGCCCTAGCTATAACGCAATAATGTTGTTGTTATATCTTTTTAGCAAATAACCTCTCTGTGTCGTGTTTTATATTAGTTTCACCAGCACTCTTAATTACTGATGATACAAATGCACTCTAAAAACTTGGTTGACAATGGTTGAGTTAAACATATTTGGTGCTTTGTTGGGTTATTTGTAACCTTTATTTGTTTATTTATTTAATAACTCAACCAGTTGGGTTAAAAATTGGAATTTCAACAGTCAACTGATTAAACTGACAGAAAACAGTTGTATTAATATGCGTGCTGAATGTTATTTTTGGATTATAAAGTTTATTTAAGCTATAGCGCAATAATATGTTTTTTTTTTTATCAAATTACCTCTCCGGTCATGTTTTTTCATCCGTTTCACCATCCAGGACCATCTTACATAACTGTCTACTGTGTTTTGTTTCTTCATCGTTTGTGATTCTTAATTTATTTTAGCAAAAGTGTATTTTAACTGAAATGTAATAGAAATGAAGCATTTTCAATAATTTTTGAAAACTGTATGTTACTTATTTACACAGCCGTAATTATAAAAGTAGTAGTAGCTACTATTAGCAATAGTAATACCAGAATGGAAAAAAATAACATTTAATCAAAATAACCCAATGTATTGAATTAAATTATATAACCCAATGCACTGGGTTGAAATAACCCATAGTTGAGAAGGTGCTATAATAACCTATAGTTGGGTTTTATGTTGGGGTATTTTTAACCTTACTATTTTAACAGAGTGCACGCAGCCAATCTATATTAAACCGATAAAAACCCTGGAACTTAAAATGTAATAAAAATAAAGTATTTTCAATATTTCTGAAAACTGCATGTTATTTATTTACACAGCCACAATTACAAAATTAATAGTAGTACTAGTATAAGTAGCAATAGTAATACCAGAATTGTAAAAAATAAAATTTATTCCAGTGGTTCTCAAATAGTGGTACGTGTACCACTAGTGGCGCACAGGAGGAATCAATTATGTCATACATGTATGTACATGCTACATGTATTTCTAAATTTATCAAAAATTATTTATATATTTTCCCAGAGATAGGTTGCGGCTGGAAGGGCATCCGCTGCGTAAAAACATGATGGATAAGTTGGCGGTTCATTCCGCTGTGGTGACCCCAGATTAATAAAGGGACTAAGCCGATAAGAAAATAAATGAATGAATGATTTATATATGAATATGATGACATATAGCGTGTATTTCTAAGGTCCAGGCAATATTTGCAGGTGTTTAAGTACAGCAGTTATTTTTTTTTAGTTTATAAGAACAGTAACCTACCATTTTTAACTTTTAAAAGCACAATTTAATTTAAATGTTGACGTTTTTATATACATATTTTTACATATAAACACAGTGCAGTGTTAATGTTCCGACTATTTATAATGTTTAAAGTGGCTGACAATAATAAATATTCTTAATAATAAGAATTAATCTGCCACATTTTTGAACTGTGCAGAGCTGTAGCTGCTTTATTGGGCCTACTACGCTACAGTACTTCAATACTGCTCATTATGGTGGTAATTGGAGAGACTATTATTTTCTGAGATGGTACTTGATAAAAAAGGTTTGAGAATCACTGATTTAATAAAAAAAACAAAACAATGCATTGTGTAAATATAACCCATGGTTGGGAAGGTGCTATAATAAACTATAGTTGGGTTACATGTTGGGGCACTTTTAACTTTTAAGTCAGTAGTTGGTAAAACAAATACTATAGAAGTAAAAAATTCTTCAAAATAACTTCTTATGTGTTCAACAGAAAAAAGAAACTCAAGCAGGTTTGTGACAAGTGACGTGAGAGTAAATGATGACATAATTATAGTTTTGAGTGAACTATTACTTTAGTTTATTCATTTAGTTTGGGATGTCGCCTTACAGCATTATACTTTTAGGTGTGATTAATATTTCTGATGAGGCTGTCTTATTGTTATTTCTTAAATGGCATCAGATCTTTAGATATAATACATATATATTCGACAGTATATTTAGTGATCAAGCATACTGGCACTGGTTTGTCTAAACATTAGCCAGTTGTTGTGTGAACTCATCCTGTCAGCTGTTTGGAGGTTGTGGTGTAAAACAGGCCTGCAGTCTGAGACGAATGAAAAGCTTCAGGCTTCTATTTATTTTTAGGCCACATTTGAGAGGATCCGTTTTCATTCAGAATGCCTTTTGGGTGCGTATCTACCCGAGCTACACCTGTTCTGTAAGATGTGTTCATCCCTGGAGATTTCAGAGGGGTAGTGTGGATCTCCAGATCTTGATATATACAACATCTCATAGTGGTGTCAAAATTGTGTGGAAAACCGAAAAGGATTTTGAAATGATTGCCATTTTAAGGGTAAACAATAATGTAAAAAAGCTAAACCCAGGGTTTCCGCTAAGGGTGTCACGATCCTTGAAATTCTCGATTCGATTACATTTTCGATTCTGAAGGCACAATTCGATTCGATTTTCGATTATGAATAATTAATTAATTAATGACCAATTAATTATTTGTAGCCTACCGTTTAAACTACCTGACCTACATGGTCTTTGTTTTACCCATAAACAAATCATACAGTAAATGAATAAAGGCAAGATACACACATAATTACCACCTGTCAATCACTTTTCCTGCGGGACTCGTGAATAGGCAGTGATCTGTGTCGTTATAATGGCGTCGGTAAAAAAGAGGCACAACCAACAGGAACCAGCCAACAGTATCTGAGGTGTTCGCTAAAATGACTAAGTACAAGTGAGTGAAAGATTGAAGCAGTCCTCTGACTGCCTGGACCTGCTGTCTCGAGCGCATGGCTGTGTGCGTCTGTGGTCACGTGATGTGCATTTTCAGAGGTAGAGAGGAAGGAGGGCTGCTCAGAAATGCTACACGCCACTGTGGATGTCAAGTCGTTGTTGTTCTAAAATGCCATTTAAAAACAAAGACAGTGTAAACAGGGCCTGAGTGTGTACTTTTCACGAGCGGATTTGCAACGGGGGCGGGCGGAGGATCGTTGTCTATCAGACAAACCGTACGTAATACGTACATAGCAGAGCTTGCAAAACTCTTTTTTTTGTCGACAACACGAACGTTGTCAACATAACTCACTGGAAATCCAAAATGCTTACACACCGGCGACTTCATTGAAAGAGGAGAGGATTTAAGCTCTGTCGACGGGTCTCCTGCTTCTGCAGTTTAACAAGCACTTCAACAAGCCTGTTTTTTCCCGCTCGGCAAGCCAAGCTGACGTGACATGGGGGCGTGGCAGCATCGACGATTCTATTTTTTGATTCGATAATCGAAATTGAGCATAAATTTCGATCGACACCCCTAGTTTCCGCAGGATTCACCAAGTTAAATGCAAGACTTTTTAAGACCATTATGAATGAAATTTTAGATTTATACAAGGCTAAATGCTAAGGATTTTTTTAAAAATA